TTATTATTATTGTTATTATTATTATTGTTGTTGTTGGAACAAGGTTTATTACTGATATCACTCACAACAATAAATTGAAAAGTGTTTTTTTTTTTTAATACAAAACATTTTAACAAATCAGCTACACTCATGTATCCACAACTGTATATTCATGTTGTTGTTTTGTCATGCAGTCAACCAAGTCGTTTATTAGCAGTTTGTCTTATATTTTGCAGCCTCTTAATTGAATATTTGAATGTTGGTATTTCTTCAGCTTTCCTTCTGTTTCTGTCATCTTTTTTAAGCTTTCTTTTTGTAGTTTATATTTTATTATTTTTGTCAAGTGTAAATAATGAAACTTACATACCAGATGAAACTATTTAGCCAATTTTAACAATGCTAATCCATTGTTAGTGCTGTGTGTGTATCTCATATTTTAGATAATTGTTTTGCTGTTTAAGTTAAATTGTTAATTGAAAAAAAATATCCTGAATATATAAAATGATTAATTCCTATAATTTTTTTTTTTTAATTTTGTCAAGTGTCAATAATTTTAACAATGTTAATCCATTTTGTTATGTGTATCTGATATTTGACATTTAAGTTTAATTGCTACTTTGATAAAATATATAAACCTGAATATAAAAATGATAAATTCTGTAATTTGTATTAAATCACAGGCGGGCAAGGTGCGGCTCACGGGCCGCATGCGGCCTGACAGTGATTTTTTGCTGCGCGCTAGTGTCTAGAAAACACCTTGTTTTTTATCGCCCGACACCGATCATATGTAAAAAGTAACATTAAAACTGAGAATAAAGTGATGTAAAAGCAGTGCTTGGAGGTTTTTGGAAGCACACTGGAAACATCGAAGTTTGGGTGCAGCCCTCGGTGTTAAATAAAAAATTCACTTTGGCCCTCCGACCAATTTTTATGCCCACCCCTGATTTAAATAAATCTTTTAATTTAAAATTTAATTTAAAAAATCCTTGCTACTTTTAACTGACATTTTCTTTTCTATATTATTTGCATACCCGGATCCAACTTTATGAATTTTTTTATTGTCTGAATAGTATATAAATAAAAAAATTAATTTAAAAAAAAATCTTTTTCCACCTGTTACTATGTATCATTTTTTAAAAAAGAAGGGCAAACAAACAATTTAGTTTTTTTGGCCCTATTGGCCGTTAAGTTTGTGGTTCACATAATGTATAACAATAAAGTAATGTAATAAACGCTAGAATGTTTTCCAAGTTTTGATGATTATAGTCATCCCCAGCACCCTCATCAACACCCTGTAAAACGAGTCTGCTCATTGTTGGCACCAAACGTGTTAAACACCTTTTATATAGTACTCATAATAGAGTTCATATAATCTACAAATTTCATGTAAAGTACTTCTGGCATGTGTAAGCAAATAGTAAAAGGGTTATTGAATTTAGGGTTGGCTGTTTATAACAGTCTTTTCACATAGTTCCATTGCCACAGGCCCTAGGTCATTATTTTTTTGCTCTGTCTGCCGTTACATAATAGGGCTTTTCTTTCGGCTGTGAAGCAATGATTGAGGCCTGAGGCATTGAATACTGTTGAAAATGTACAATAGTAAAGCACGTGTCTTTATATTTGTATTGTATTTGTACATGGGTATAAAAAGTACAATGTTAAAAACATATAAAAAAAATAGCACGAAAGTAGCCAAAATGGCATGAAAGAACCGGTTGGCTCAGGGGAAACCCCAACGTAAAAGAACAAATAGGAGGATAAGGGCAGTCCCAACCAACAATGCTTTGGGGAAGGAAATCAAATGGAATGCTTTGTAATCATGTGTGAAATATTTTTTGACTATTTTAATTTTTATCAATGTGTTTTTTTCAATGTTTAGGTTGATGATAGCTATGATATCAACCTGTTATCATACACTTGATGAGCGTGCTAGCTGCGAGAAAAACAAAGGTATATATGGTATAAAAGTCGATCTCTAAATAAAGCTATCAGGGGTTCCAACAAGCAGTGGTGGCACCAGCAGGGGCTGGAGAATTTTTCCTCCCCCCTCTCTATTTCATTAATTTTTTTATCCAAATAGTTATTTTGATTTTAAATCCCTAATAGGTTGTCTAAAAAGCACAATTTTGGGCCAAAACTAAGCCATAATAAACTATCCCATAAACCGTGCTACGAATTTTTATTCCAAGACCCTGATCAAGTCTCTAGTCTGCCCCTTTGTTTCAAATTTCTGGAGCCACAACTTGTCCTAAGTTGCAATATGACAATCTGCCCAGCTAACTACAGAGGGACAGTAACTACAATAGTAAAAAGAAACAAACATTCTGAATTCGCGGGAGATACATTATTTTCCTGCAAATTTGTATTTGCTCGCTGAAGTGTAGAAATTTCCAGGCGACTTCTGCAACTCACTGAAGACTTGGAACCATTAAGTTATACAGAGAAGAAGAAATAAGAACAATAATACAGTATTAATTTCCTTTTATTAATGCAATTCAGTTTCAGTTGATAATAATTAATATTATCATAATACATCTTATCTAAAACAACTAGACAAATTGAATTTTAGGTAACCATAAAACCATTTGAAAATTTACTTCCTGTAGTATTAATCTAACAACCTTGAAAAAAAACCCAGTCCTTCAATATTAATTGCTACTCAGTATTTTAATTTCATTTGGTAAAAACTGTTGTATGCCCATATATAGTCATGATGTGTCTAGATCATGATGTGATGTCACCATGATCATAATTAGGCATTTTACATGTTTTTAAAAATAAAATTTGCTTCTCTGTTTATACCATTTCCTTTTTTTCTGCTTTTTAATACGTCAATCTATTTTCATACTGAATTTTGTTGGATTTAAGTAAAATATAATGTCATTGTTATTGTACCCTGAGCTAATTTACTTTGCATTTATCAATTTTTTTGAAAAAAATCATTGCACTTCGTTGAAACATAAAACTTTGGTATAGAAGAAATACCAATACACTTTATTTAATACTTTCTACCTTTTCTTGAAATTGCATTGTATTCACTTATATAAGACACTAAAGAATTATATTTAAATGTTATTCAATTTAAATTTTATAAGCCATTCCAAAACTTATGGAATTATTAAATAATTTGTAATTTTTGGAAAACACAAGAGGCCCTTTGGTGATGTACTTTATAAGCATAATTCATTAATAAATATACCTTTTTGGTTTTTTTCAGTTGAGTTATTCTTCCCTTCATTATGTTTGTCATCTCCATTTTATATTCTCCAATAGATATTTTTCTTTCAAATTCTTATTTTAAAACTTGAAGTATATTTTATCTAATAAAGCCGAGAAATATTTTCATTTTAAATCGAAGATGCAGACATAACTGAAAACACAAACCACTCCAGTTGTGAAAAAAATATTTGTCACTCGTTAACTTAACCTACTTGTTATATTTATAATAGTAATAGTCATATTGGATGATAGCAATATAGAGTAAAATAATTTATTTAGTGCCTCGCGTATAAACAGCCCTTAGGTACCTTCACAAATGTCAGAAAACCAAAATGTATATAAATGTATAACTTACAGTATATACCACCTAGAAACACATCACTGTAACGTTCACCGGCAGTTCATGCCGTTTAGCCCACGGGTTCTTAATTTTCTTTGTAACTTTAGTGATGGAGGTCTACCAATGACAGTAGGTAATGTAATTATCCTTATTATTAATAATTTACCTTAAGTAAACCTATCATCGGAGTTAAAGTTGATTAAAATATATATCATCATGTATTTAAAATCAGGTTTTTATTACAACATTATCCTTTTGTCAAAAAAGAATACCATTAAATGTACTTATAAACGGCTTATAAAACACAAGCTAAAGCATCACTGCGCTGTCCCCCGGCAAATTATGGCGTGAAGCCTACCGGTTCATAATTTACAGCTGTGGGCCTGTAGTAGTGATGAAGTTAAATCAAACATAGGGTTCTATTTTTCTGGGTTTTTTTTTTCAATTTCATCCTTTGAAAAAGAAAATAAACCATGAATTTATAGACCACTTTAGAGAGAAACAGCTATCTTAACTGCATAGTTTACCAGCAAATTATGGCACGAACCCCACAGCTGTGTGCCTGTAGTAGTGATGGAGGTATCTAATAATGATAAAATTGTTACACTATATGTGGTATATCAGTATTAATTGTGTTATATTAGTATTAATATTTTAACACCCTATCACTCCTAATCATGTTTTTTTCTTTCTTCTCTGTATATTTAAATTGTATCATTTGAAAAAAGAAATAAATCGTGAATTTATACCTAGAGACAACTATCTCAAACAGTATTGCATAGTTCACCCGCAAATTATTCCGCAAAGTCCGCTGGTTCATAAACTACTTGCCACTTGTGATAGAGTTATATAAGACCAAAAAAGATGTATGTTACCCAGATATTTAGAAATCATGTTTGTTGGCAATAGGGCTAAGTTATAGGGTTCTTCGCCAACCTTTATACACCACACACATTTTGTTGACTGTAGTAAGATGGTTATAAACATCAGTTTAAAAATAAATAGCTCCTCTTGTGTAAAAACAAAAATAGTTTTGCCATGAAAATATTAGTCTGGAAAAAACGAATGGATTTTTAGACACAACAACCGAAAACACCCTGCATTTTTTTACAGGAAATTTATGGTGAAGAGCCCAGCAGTTTATAATTAACGGGGATGGTATCTAGGTATTAATAATAGAAATGCAGTTTTATCTTTAAAAATATTCAAATCATCCTTAAATTAATACTTAATTATTAAACCAGAATGGTGATTATTTAAATAATAACTGTCATGTTTTAAAAAGCAAATTGAATTTACTGTTAAACCATGTCACTCCCAAATTAGACATTGGGTTTCCTTTTTTCCATTTATTTTAATTGTCTCTCTTGAAAAAATGTAGACATGTTTGTTAATTTCTAAGAAATGTATGAATGAGAGATTATTTCGGCCAATGAAATCAACAAGATAGAAAGTATTCATCACTTTGTGGTATTGGTATACTCTAAGCATTTCTCCAGCCGTGGACAGAAATAAATATAGATGGCCGTTTGTTACTTTCAGATCTACCATGGTCCACTCATCTTCAAAGACATCAATGTTTACCGGTATTGTCAAAGTGAAGTCGGCGCTGAAATCAACATTTACTTTGAACAGCACAAGCGTTGAGTTGCTGTGCGAAGGTTTAGTTGCATTCGTTGCTGCGAGGAACAGTTCTGATTGGAAAGAAATCATTTTCGGCTGAATGTTCCTCACGTTACACAATATAACATTCTCATTTTGACTTGGATGCGCATCAACATATCTATCCTTCCAGATCCAAATCGTCAACTGTCGGCTGAATGCTAAAAATAAAAAATGAGTCTCTGTTCCTTGATCATCAGTTAAAACATCTGAAAATCCATACCTGAAATTCTGGTGTTCAGAAATCTGGTCGTAGAACGTTTGAATATCAGTAATTTTTGCTTGCTCTGGTGTCTTCAATTTGCAATCACTTCCAACCTCTACAAGATGCACTTTCTGTTCCGTAAACACGAGAAGTTCCCTCCCTATTTTGATTGCGCCAATTGCATCTGAGGGCTCCGAATCGTTTGAAACGAGATAAAGATCAGTTCCATCGAATCGCATGATAATGCTGGGAGTTTCGGATCCTGTGTTATAGCTGCCAGTTATAAATACACACTGGAACTCTTTTTTTTGAACTACTTCAAGTTGCCTTTGAGCTTGGTATGGTATGGTTACACTTAATTTCTTTGTCATGTTACCATCAAAATCATGCACCATTAGTACGTCTGAAAAGAATTACATAGTGTAAAATTTAGAGGTAGAACATTCAAGTAATTTAGCATATTTTCAAGTTCATCGGGCAATTTGCTTATTTTAATCAACTGTAAATATATTTTGTAAATAAAAGGAGAAGTATTTGAAAATGGTTATGTAATTTATTTTTGTATTTACTTAGCATATGAGCAAATATAAGCACAGATTCCATAGTTTGTGCAAATATCGCCATGCTGCAGGGCAAATTTTTGGGAGGGCCCCACTTTTTGCAGATCGAGGGTCAGACAATCTCAGTGCAACAATGGTTGGAGCTGGGTTAAAAAAAAAAGATAGTGCTCTAAAAAATGGCATTGTTCGAATTTTCAACCATTATTACTGGAAAAAAAACATCACAAAATTTAGTGGGAGGGGAGTTGGCTGGCTTCCCCTTCGTGCATTCCCATCACATATCATAGAAAGTTCATAGAGTATTATTGATGGTAGTTTTGATTTTCTACTCACTCTCTCCTGTGTTGTTCGAAGCAACATGAAAAATTGAATGTTTGTTGTGGTTACTGAGGATGGCGATGTCGACTCCAGCTTTGCAGATGTTTACTTGTTGCTTGATTCCGAAATTATTCCAAACTTGATCTGTGAAATGAATATGTCAGTCATTTAATTCACCATAAATTTATGGCATTGCATTCAGGGGTTAAAAAGAAAGATGATGTTGATTTAATTGTAGTGGTGACGAAGAAGACAATGGCGATGGTGGTGATGATGATTATGATGGAGGTAAATGTTTGACTATTATTGTAATTACGATGTTGATAAAGAAACATGAATTAAATGATAATGGTGACAATAATATCGATGATGATGATCAGTGGCGTAGAAAAGTATTTTTCATTGGGGGGTGGGGGATGATTGAAAATTCCTGGAATTTACATGATACAATGGACCATCCCCCTTGTCAAATATTGGGGGTGATATACCCCCGGGATCCACGCCTATGATGATGATGACTTTTTTGAAAACATCAATTACAATAACCAGGGAGCAGTCATATTACGATAACTATGATGATTTAGAAAGTGATTATTATTATTATGATCGTCGTTATATTATAATAGATATAATAACATTAAGAAAAATATTATTAATGTCAATAATAATAATAATAATAATAATAATAATACAAAAAATAACAAAGATGAATGAATGAATGGTTAAGTATTTAATGTTGATAATATTAATAACAGTGATGATGATGATGATGATGATGATAAAAATAACGATAAAAGAAACATGATAAAAGAGAATGATAAAATAATGGGAGCAAATTTACCTGTGTGATCTTTCAAGTTGGTGCAGCACATTTTCTTTGACCGTTCATAGTTCATAGGACACTCTTCGCCATTCTAGTGGAAATCATACATGCTAATGATTATAAAATATTTATCCTAATTTAAAACCTCCTTTATGCAAAACAAAGTGTTTTAGATGTATGGCCTTCCTGCTTTTAGAGCAGTGACGAATTCAGAGGGGAGTGAGGGGTGTACGACCCACTTCCTATTTTTTGTAATTTTTTGTTAAGCTTTTCAGGAAATTGCCATACTAAATGGTAAAAAATATTTAATACAGCCTCAGGTGCAATAGCTTCAAGGGGGGTTTTTCGCTTACACCCCAATAGGTGTAGGTCTACCCTTCCCACATTCCAGGTAAGGCTCTGTGATTTGCCCGACGGGGTGGCCAATGTCCTCGACGGGTTGGGGTGATGGGCGGGGGAGGGGGTTGAATTCTCCGATGAGAGCAAAGTTTGCGTGGTCGGGTGTTACTCAAAATCTTTTGAAAGTTTTTTGACAATTTGGGTGTTTCAAATACTTAGGCCTATTTAATCGATTTAGAGTCTACTCATGTAGAAAATACATATATTTTTTTTTCTCCGACGAACTGTGGTTTTTCTCCTCGACGGGGAGGTGGGGAAAGCTCTCCCCGACCTCTCCCGCTGGTGCCACTCCTGGCACATACCCTCTTTTTAACTGGATCCGCCTAGAACATGCACATATTATTTAAAATATGTAATCATCTGTACGTCATTAAGTTCCTGTCTCTTATACACATCTAGATGTGTATAAGAGACAGGGCTTAAGGCTGAAGGCAATTTTTGAAGGATATAGTGGGTCCGAAGGTGTGTATGAAATTACTATAATTGCTTTATAAGTCAGTTGTTTCTGATTAGTGTTTAAATGACTGTAGTGTACTAATCATGAATAATATTGTAGCCTAAGTAGTAGCGTGACAATGAGCCTTAAGATCCTTGCTAAGTTTTCTGCTGGCCATACCTTGCTGGGGAATGGGTGTGGATAGAGCCCTGTAGGGTACGGGAGAAATCCCCTCCCGCTACGGAATTTTAGATGTTTTAAGGATATTTTGTTGGAGTATTTAATTTTGCGTTCTGCCCATAAAAAGGACCTGCTTAGCAGATGTGTGGACAATTATGAATATCCTGTGGCCGTTGGCTTTAGCTAGTGATGGATCATAGCTGTTACGTCAATAAAATCTAAGATTCAGTAGTTTTTACTTTCCCATCCCTTCATTAGGCCTACCAGTTTTGATGAATTTTGTATTGCTTTTTTTCCCACCGCACTATTATGAAGAATTAGGCTAATTGCTTCTTGACTTAAAGTACAAAAGATTCCGCCCAACCCCCTAAAGAATTATTTTTATTAGATCATAATAACATTGTTATTACGTTTCGTCGTTTTTAAATCAATCAATAACCAGTTCCCGATCTGTCCAGTCTAATAGCAAATGAAAGCATGTAGTGATATTGGTTCTTTGCAAGGATAGGAATAAAAAATGGGTCGGGTGGAAGGCCATATATTTTGGGTTTTTTTTGTTTTTTGTTTGTTTGTTTCTTTGTTTGTTTGTTTTTTTTAACATCGAGGGCCACACCCGAAAAAATAAACCCCTTCACGCTTTATGCTCATTTTTCCAACATTGACGTCGGCCCGCCTGATATGAGGTATATTGTATTTATCTTTAGGCATAAGTATTTGTCGTGTGTATGTTGTACTGCATTAAGTTGGGCAGGTAGTAACAATTCATGGTTCACACAGAAATTGATTTGAATCGAACTTGTAATTATTATTATTATTACGGTACAGTATGTTATTTAATTGAGGGCCGCACCCAAACTTTGATAATTCCGGGAAAAAACCCTTCACGAGTATGCTCAGTTTAAATTGAAATTGGTTTTTAGCAACAAAATTGCAATTAGTATGCACACAGAAAACGAATTATCTATGGTATACAGTGCTTAGGTTACATTCTCAAAACTACAACATTTTGTTTTATTGTCGAAATATGTGCCATCTAGGTCTCAAATTAACGATTATTCTTTGACTCGCCCTTTTAATAGGCTCTCCACGCTCGATTCTCCCTTTACAGTATATTATTTTGCCGATGGATCATCATTAGACATATTGACAAAGAATGAAATTTACTACCCACGCCTACTATACGGAATTGCTCATCAATGAAGTACAGAGTATTGTTTATCAATGAAAATTGTGAGTTGCTTTTTAGGACCTGGTTTTGATTCTGAATCTAACATCTCAGGAAGCATTTAGGATTATATAGATACTGTACGTATTTTAAATCGTTAGTTTATAATATATTGCGCCAAGCATGAATCTTACCCTAAGCACGTGACATCTCAGTTCATTGACTTCTCTAGACCCTGTTGCAATTGCCAAGGTTACAAACAAACTTAGCCGGATGGTGACTCTAGGGTACAAGAATACTTTTAAGAACTGTGTAGATAAGTGTACTGCAAACAAGAGATCCATGTTTAAATGAGTATAAACATTATTTAAGTTCATATTTAAGTACGAAAATTATTTGTGTGAGCATCCGTGCAACTGTAGTGACACGTGCTTTACGAGAATGGATCATTGTACCTGTTCCTATTACATCATTTTCTTCAAATCGGATTGGTTAAACTCTTCATCGGATGATATTTGTCACTTTAGTTTTTAGTAAATGTCATCACTTATATTTATAGAATGTTGACATTTTGAGGGTGGACTGTTTCCACTTCAAACACCATACTGCTATTTAGTTCCGTATTAACGCCTTTATATTGAAATCAATTATATACACCAAGCTTCGTTGGTTCAAGTTCAGAACACACCCCTCGATATTATCGCTTTTGTATTGACGACAATACACCAATGCTTATTGGTCTATGTTCAGAATGATGGTATACGGGGATATCCCAACTACACTTGAGAGTAATATCATAGAGAAAATATGAAAACATAGTATTTTCTCTATGGTAGTATACAATACCAAAACCCAAGTGTCATTTATTTAATATTTTAATTAAAAACAGAACATATTACATGTTTTTATTTTTGAATTTTTTATTTTCTCTATATAAATTAATGATTGTCTTGTCGATGTAAGTTTATACCATTAAGTTTGTTCCCATGATACAAAAGCGTTATCCAATCAATTGACTGATTCACTCTCAATGCATTCGAAGGACACATTGTGGTAGAAACGTTATTTTAAAAAGTTTGCATCCGGGTTCACATAAGAAATAGTGGAAATAAAACTGGAAATCTCTTTCTAACATGCTTGCCCTTTGGCCTATGAATATCACACCTATTTCATATCGTTGTATGTATATCATGTTTTCTCTTTGTATGAAATTTTTCATTTGTTTTGATCCAGCAAAAAAAAAAAAAAAAACAATAGTACTCACACTACGTTTTTTTTTTCTGGATCAACACAAATGAAAAACTTCATACAAATTATATTTGGATCCAAATTAATTTATTTCAAGATGTTTTCTCTTTTTTATACTTGGTGTATTCGTTTTTGTTCTTTGTTACAAAATTGCTTAATCTTTTGGTGTCGTCTATGATGTCTCAATCCTTATTTTGGGGGAGGGGGGTGGGTGGGTAATAGAGACAAGCCTCTGGTTTATACTGCTATCCCCTTCTCTCCATTTCGAATTGTTGTGTTTTTTTCTGCTTTTGTAGTTGTTGTTAAAACTTGATTTTGATGGTTTTGTCCTATTGCTTTTGGAAATCATTAAATGTAAACCAACAAACCCATATTGGTCTGCATCGGCTTATACTCCGGCAAGGAGCGGCAATATTAATTCTGGTAAGCAGCGACATAAGGAGGACGCAATGATTGAAAAAAAATATTATCACATCTAGTCTTCTACATTACTTTTTCGCTCAGTGCCCATTAGTGATTTTCATGTACGACAGCGGGGTCCGAACCAAGGTGACGACTAGAGACTCGGTCAGGGTCCCAGAATAAAAATTCCTAGTAGGGTTCATGGAAGTGTTTTCACGCTTAGTTATGGCACAAAATTGTGCATTTCAACTACAATAATTAGGGATTGACTATCAAACCAACGTTATTTGGATAGGTAAATTAATATATAATTAACGGGGGTCCAGGCCTGACCGACGGGTGGGGAGTATTTCCCTTCCCTCACTGAAGCCACCACTGGCGGGTAGCTTAGACACGAAGACACCCTCAAGGTGAAAGCATGTTACTGTAGAGCTACTCCACACCTTTGAGACCGAAAATATCTTCGACAAGTTTTGCCAACAAAATATATACCAAATGATCCTGGAAATTCCGCATGAGATATTAAATTCAATGCTCTAACTGTACGGTTTATCTCCGGTTTTTGTTTGTTTGTTTGTTTGTTTGTTTTTTTAATTTTAGTAGTTTCAGTTTTCCTTTCTGCATTATTGTTTTTTTTTTTAAAGTTTTATATTATTTTAAGGGGAATGTGTAAATGTTTGCATTGTTTAGGGAGGGAATAAGGCCAAATAATATTATTATTGCATTGGTGTTTTTTTTTTCATTTTTTTTTCATTTTCATTTTAGTAGTTTCAATTTTCTTTTCTGCATTATGGTTTTGATGTTATTTTTGATGTTTAAGTTTTACAGTATATTATTTTAAGGGGAATGGGTAAATATTTGCATTGTTTAGAGAGAAGTCTTTAAGAATTTTAAATAATAATATTATTATTATTACAAAAACTACACTCATAATATGTAATGTTGGGGGAATGGGAAAATAGAAGGCGATTAAAACAAAAAGATGATTTGTGCTATTGGAAATCCTTTTAATATTGACAAGAATACCCCAACCTATTGACAACACCAAGCTTTATTTACCTGTTCAGAATAATGGTAACTAGGGGTATCCAAACTATGCTGTGAGTAATATACTTTTCCTGAACACAATAATAAGCTAGTAAGACTATCAGTTATTTTATATTTTTTATGATAAACAAAAGGGAAATGTTCACTTACTGGACCATATGCATAAATAACTATCCTCATAAAACGTCAGCAGTCCTAGCAATTGATTTGAATTGAATTTTATAGTTAGCAACTTATATGCAGAAAATGACTTACGTTTTGTCAACACTAACGCCATGGATACAGTGTAATATCTTCAGAATTAAAGCAATACAGGTCTCCCTCCAATTAAAGACCATTTGGCTCCAGGGTTTTCCTGGTCTGTAGCAGCGTTGGACTTAAAAAACATTATTATAAGAAATTTAAGGTAGTCACAGAAAGGTGGTCTTTAATTGGAGACGGTCTTTAACTAGGTGGAGATCTTTATCCTTCTTGTATTGAAAGAGTTTGACCTACAGTGAAGAAAAAAATATACAAAAATTCATTGTCTTTTCGTTATTTCAGTGGCGATTTCATTTTTTTAGCCTTGTAGCGCGAGTGGCAACTAAGTGCACACATATCTTTTTCTTGATAAATATAAACCTAAATTGGAAGAATGGAGATCACATAAGATATTAGGGTCATTATTAGATAGTACCTGTGATATTAATCATAGAATTGTGCTTGCTAATGCAGCATTTAATAATCTTTAGAGGATGTGGGTCAAAAGTAAAATTTCACTGGATTGTAAACTAATGCTTTATGATGCTTTAATGTATCTATTTTACTGTAAATGCAGCACTTGATCAGCACCAAAGCATGTGCAGTGGCGGCACAAGAGGGCGGGGGGGGATTTTCCCCCAGATAATTTTCTTACGCCACCCCCTCCCCCGTTTTTCCCCACCCGAAGATTAAGAAAAACCACAATTCGTAGGGGAGAAAAAAATGATATAGGTCCTATATTTTCTACATATGTAGTAGACTATCTATCTATAAAATTAATTTGAGTGACACCCGACCACGTCCACTTCGGGCCACCGTGTTGCCCACTAAAATTTTACCTTTCCCCCAGATTCAAACTCTGGCGCCGCCACTGAGCATGCGTTTGATAATAAACTATTATAGATGTTTGTCATAGAAAACACATAAGAAGTAGGTCTGTAAAACGAGCCCACTCTCAGAAAGAGTCTGTGGTATGGTCTATGCTTGGTCATGTTTTGAGGATGGATAAAAATACACCAGCTTTTTCAACATTCGTTTATGCAGTTGTTTTTAGTAACAGTTTTAAAGGATCTGCTGGAAGACATTAAACCAACATTTTGTCTTCAATTAGAAATGATTTAAAATTTATTTAAGTTAACTGATCCCGAAGATTTAAATGTTTTAAGCGATATTGCAAAAGATATAAATAAGTGGGATGATCTGTTTCAATAATATTCTGTAAAATGATAATAAAATATAAAACCAAAATTTAAATTTATACAATTTTAAAGCAAAAATACAATTTACAATTTTCGCAAAGCGAAATACAATTTGCTTTTTTTCTTTATATGTAAATGTATTTGCAATTGGAAAAATAAAATAAAAAACAATGATTGGTGTTAGAGGACGGAATTAAAGTACCCGAATTTCGTTGCAAAGTAAAACACAAAGAGCTAGAAAACCAGTGCAATGTGATTCAAGATCTTATTTTATTTTTTATCAAACATCACATACTAACATACTATAACATGGTTTGAAACTTGGGCATTGTCTAAAATGTGTTAATAAAATATTAAAAACCAAGATACAGTATACATATTGTACTGATTACAACCACAACACATTCAAATTGTCTTGTTAAAATCATGATAAAATATTAATAAAATTAAAGCATTGAATGTGGTTAAAATGGAAAATACTTCTGATATATTATTTTATCAAAATTGGTGCAGTAGAACTCTTTTGTCAAATTGTTAAAATACTGTTTAAATATAACTTTATTTTAAACATATGTCAATTAAAAATCTACTACTGGAAGCCATGGCGGAGTACAATGATTGTGTCAAAAATTAAGTTATAAGTACATCGATAATGTAGAACAGTGTAATTTGGGGGAATATCCATATTATATATTAAGTTTAATTCTAATCTTTTCATTATTTTCTAGACTGTTTTTGTTTAAATAAAAGATATATAAATAATATTAGAAAGTTAGAATCAAAGGAAATATTAGAAAAAAAAATAAAATAAGAAAAACCAGTACTTATATTTGTCATTGATGCGAGTAGGGGGCAGAGCACCATGTTTAAGAATCTAAGTTCTGTTTGTTTTGTGTATTATTGTTTTTCTGTTCCACCACGTCTGTGCCCTTGGCTACATGAGTGATTGACTTTTTTTGTAATCGGCCTTGTTGTTAGGCCTAGTTAGTTTGGAACTATACTGCACTGTTTGCTTACAAATAAACGCGTTACTTACTATGCTTGTTTATCAATGAAATGCTTTTGAAAAATCAAAATAGTTTTTAGATTGCTCAGTTACATCATTTACCTCAATTTGCATTGGCTCAATTTTAGAATAGCTCTTCAACGGACGACGAATGAATGAATAAATTAACGAATAGGCGTAATTTTTGCCCTACATGACGTGGAAATGTACTGAATACTCAGTACGTTTGAAAACAATTGCGAAAACAAATCGCAAGTTGTTCT